AAAAATGTGATAGGACGCGGTGATGATATTATTTAGGGGTGAGGTAAATGAGACGAGGTGATAAGACAAGGTGATAGGATGAGGTCAGTGTGAAGTGACGATGTGTGTATCTAACGTGATGAGGTGCGTTCCCTTTTGCCTCTATGCCCAGTCAGAAGCAGCAATTACAATTACACACCTGTGCCTCGAGCCCATTGCAGTGTGACTGTGTGAGTGACAGCCGGTCGATGGTGGTTGCTCACTCACAACTTGCTCCTGCACTCGGTGGACCTGTACGGGGCATCTTTGGCGGTAGTTAGATGCCCGCTCACGGACACCAGTGACGATTGTCTGAACCGGTACCTGGGATTCCACTAGGTCGACTCGTCTCAAATGAGTACCTAGTGCGATGTGTAAACATTAGCACGGGGAGACAAAGGCGGCCGCGTGATGCTGGCCAACCACCCCCTCATGTGTCGTGCCGGCCTTCGTAGGTGCTCGCTAACAGCACTTGCCCCTACAGCCTGTTAAGACTTTTCGGGGGGATTTGCCTTTGGTGAAGGTGATGATGATGTTGCTGGTCGTCTGAATGTTGAACTTCCGTCACACCTCAGGAAGGTGCGGGGGGAAGGCCAATTCAACATGAAATAATAATCAACAAAACACAATCACGCAACAAAAAACGTGTCGTTTAACTTCTAGCGCCACAGTGTTACTGACGAATGCGTTTGTTGATATTTTCACTCTGAAAGGGCATCGGCTTGGCCGTGATGATATGGCAGTGCCACTATTACATACTTCCACTTCTCCGTGTCCCCTCTTCTCTCCGTCTCCCCCCTCCTCTCCATCTCTCCCTCCTCTGCGTCTGCCCCCGTGTGAGCACGCAGGTCGAGTACATGCTCGTCTCCTTCGATCACACGGCGCGCAGGGCCCGTGTCTTGTCAACGCAGAGGAGCTGATCAACGACTTGAGAGCCATGGACGAGGAGGCCAACCCGGGTGAGACCTCCTCCTCCCCCTCCTCCTCCCCCCCCCTCCTCCTCCCCCCCCCCTCCTCCTCCCCCCCCTCCTCCTCCCCCCCCTCCTCCTCCCCCCCCCCCTCCTCCCCCCCCCTCCTCCTCCCCCCCCCTCCTCCTCCCCCCCCTCCTCCTCCCCCCCCTCCTCCCCCCCCCTCCTCCTCCCCCCCTCCTCCCCCCCCCTCCTCCCTCCCCCCCCCCTCCTCCTCCCCCCCCCCCCCCCCTCCTCCTCCCCCCCCTCCTCCCCCCCCCTCCTCCTCCCCCCCCTCCTCCCCCCCCCTCCTCCTCCCCCCCCCCTCCCCCCCCCTCCTCCTCCCCCCCCTCCTCCCCCCCCCTCCTCCCCCCCCCCCTCCTCCCCCCCTCCTCCTCCCCCCCCTCCTCCCCCCCCCCCCCCCTCCCCTCCTCCCCCCCCTCCTCCCCCTCCTCCTCCCCCCCTCCTCCCCCTCCTCCCCCTCCTCCCTCCCCCCCCCCTCCCCCCCTCCTCCCCCTCCTCCTCCCCCCCCTCCTCCCCCTCCTCCCCCCCCCCTCCTCCCCCTCCTCCCCCCTCCTCCCCCCCCCCCCCTCCTCCCCCCCCCCCCCCTCCCTCCCCTCCTCCTCCCCCCCCCCCCTCCTCCTCCCCCTCCTCCTCCCCCCCCTCCTCCTCCCCCCCCTCCTCCTCCCCCCCTCCTCCTCCCCCCCCCTCCTCCTCCCCCCCCTCCTCCTCCCCCCCCCCTCCTCCTCCCCCCCCTCCTCTTCCCCCTCCTCCTCCCCCCCTCCTCCCCCCCTCCTCCCCCCCCCCTCCCTCCTCCTGCCACGTGCTCACAGTGAGAGCGGCCGTGCCCCAACGGCCCCAAACCGTTTTTAAACCCAACACAGATTTTCCGATTCTATTTTCGTAAAGTTTCGGAATCGATTAGATTTTTGGTACAAAATATCCAGACCCAGCCGTGCATTTTACTATATAATGAGCCCAATAATGTCTGTGTGTAACGTGCGTAACGTCACATAATCATGAACAGGTGGTGTCCTCCACATGGACCGCCCCCCCCCCCCCTCATTAATAATCATGAACGGGTAACTTCACTCCGCATAATAAGGTGCAGCAGAAAAGAAAATTTGTTTACGCAAATTGGCTTTAATTTTAACCTTTCTTCATGGTAAATAAACCTAATAAATAAATCAACGCATCAACTAATATAACGAACCAAAAAAGTTTGTGTCTGTGTCCCGCGCGTGACATTACTCCACATGCGCCCCTCCCCTCATTATTATTCACGTGTGCCTGGATTTTCAGACGACCGCAGAAGAAGGTCGAGCGGCTATGACATTTTTTAAATGCAAATTCGCTTTCGATTTTACGTATCTTCATACAAAGTGAAGGAAATAAATCATTATATGCCGCATCACTGTGCATTTGGTGTCTTTAGCTTCCTAATTATGCTATAATAAACATTTCTCTGCTACTTTGCAGACATTATATTGAATTCGAATTGTTTTCAACCCAGCGAGCGAAAGCGGAAGGTAAGTGTCAGAGCAGTAAATATCAAATAATTGATAGGTCCGTTAATTACAGTGCTACTATGATGTTACGTCAGGTGTTTTATGAAATAGTTGCGTGCAACAAACACTGCGATTAATGCAGTGCTGCTGTCAAATGCTGTCAGGTGTTTTATGACTTCGTTTTGTGCAACATTCACTGCCATTATTACAGTGCTACAGCGAAATGCAGTGAAGTGTTTAATGACATTCTTTTTAAAATATTCATATTTTTTGGGTCTTACGGTAAAGTCCCATAGATAGGTTCAAAGAAACGTAGTTTTTGTTATTGTTTGTGATTTTATTTGAACCTATCCATGTGACTCTACCGAAAGACCCAAATAATATGAATTACTGCAGTCATGAATGCTTTAAGTCAAGATTTTTCAATATTCTTTGCCATTACATTTAGAAAAGATACAATTATACTCTGATCAATTTATTCATAACTCTAATGCTTCTCTTTGGTCTTCGTTATTTGCTAAGTTACTTCAGACAGTATCACCACTCTACTTTCTTCACTCTTCCCTATTAAGCGCCCTTTGGAGAAGATTCATTTGCTAGTTAACAGCTTCAGGTGATTTTAAAAAAGTGCTAAAGTGAAGTTACAGTTTTTTTTCAAATTAGACAGCCACATAGATTGCTCACCTTTGACTATTGTGTAAGATACCGAAGAATTCCTGGTCAAAAAATTACCAATTGTAATGCTTCTTTTGACTCTGCCAGCTAAATTTGGCCCCTCTGTAGATCACATTATCCCTCTACAGTATCTAAAAGCGCGAGGGCAACCTTATTCGCAGTTTCACAGCTGCTGGAGCACGTTAAGTGTCATAAGATCTAAATACGTGAGCCCAGGATTGATAAACATCATGGAGGACGAAGATACTGCAGCTAAGAAACGCCGTTTGCAAAGAGAAAGACAGCAGAGATGGAGAGCTCGCCAGAGCCAAGACACTTTGATGTTGGAGCTCAAGTCAACGCAACGCGAGTGAATATCTCCAAATTACAGTATGTTGCAGCGCAAACGGTGATCAGAGGTACATTCAACCCACAAATCAGTGCTGGAAAGCTTACAAAACCGTGTATTGTCGATTCGTACCTGCAGGTTGAACCTAATAATTTGAATTACATTCGTCAACATTAGCAGAAATTACGAGTTGAGCTTTATCAAAAACTTGCCGATCACATAGAGAATGCCTATCAAATGGCTGCAAGACGAGCCGGAATTCCTGTTATTCTGCCTTCGCCTTTCGAAGGTTCACCGCGGAACATGAAAGAGCAAAGCATGGACGCAATTACAATTTTCACAAAGCAATACGCTCCCGATCTCTTCATAAAATTCACTGGAAATCCAAGGTGGCGAGAAATCACCAACAATTTGCAGCAAGGTGAACAAGCATCTGATCGACTTGACTTAGTAGCACGTGTTTTGAAGTTGAAACTGAAATCGTTGATGCAGGATCTCACTGTCCATGGCGTTCTGGGAATCTCAACGGCTTTTGTCTACACCATCGAGTTCCAGAATCGTGGTCTGCCTCACGCACACATCCTGGGAACATTGCAAGTTGATGATAGATTCACAAGCTCTGAGCACATTCATCAGGTTGTGCCTGCTGAAATTCCCGTTGCGGCTAAAAATCCGCGGTTACACGAAATTGTCACAAGATGCATGGCCCATGCGCAGCTGCGAATTCTCGCGCAGCCTGCATGCAAAATGGAAGGTACTAAAAGGCGTTCCCGAAGGAATTTGCTACCATGACAGTGCACAATGTTAACGGATATCCTTTGTATTATCGGCGACAAGGAATTTCAGCTGAAGTTCGTGGATCGTCAATGGATAACAGATATGTGGTGCCGTACAATCCATATCTGTTGCTGATGTACAATGCTCACATCAATGTTGAGGTCTGCACGTCACTACGAGCTGTTAAATATATTTATAAATATATTTACAAAGGATTCTATTGCGCCAATATGACGATCACTACCAGCGAGATTGCTCTTACACACGACGAGCTGTGAAATTTCATCAACGCAAGATACGTCAGTGCACCAGAGCTATGTGGCGTTTGCTCGAGTCGCCAATGCATGATAGCTCGCATGCCGTGATGAGATTGCCCATGCATTTGCCACCTCAGCAATGACTTGTGTTCCAAGAGGGTTGAGAAGATGAGGCGTTGGAAGCCGCACGAACAGGTCACACGAAGCTCGAAGCTAGGTTTCAGCAGGGGCGGTTTCTTCATTAGGGCGATTGGGCGACGCACCACCAATGTCATTCAACCACAGAGTCACGCTAGCCGTCACTGCAGCCTCTGGATATAGTCCAATCAGCGTCATGTCACGTTCTGTGGAGTACCGCCTCTTTTTGGGCGATTTCACTCCGGCTGAGAATCGCCCCGAGTGGCCCCATAGACTTACATTGAAAGATGTTTTTTTTCGAACGGGGGCGCTCCAATGCATTCTCTATGGCTTCCGGGAGGGCAAGCCCTAACGTGCTTACGTCATCATAAGTGCTAACGTCATCATACGTGCTTACGTCATCATACGTGCTTACGTCATCATACGTAAGCACGTTTCATCCAACAATATAATTTATCGCCACCTAGTGGAATCTTCTTCTTGGTTCTTTCGGTAAAGTCACGTAGAAGGGAAGTAATAAAATAATAAAAATAAAACATAAAATTATTCTCACGACGTTTCGGCCACAACGCAAGTTATTCTCACGACGTTTCGGCCACAACGTTCCACTCACTGACATGGTGCAGTGTGCAGAGTAATGTATGGTGTCGTAATTGTATAGTAAATATATAGCAGTGTGATACACATTAGGGTGGGTAGAATAATACATAGTGTTATATTAAAATGGATAAGGCAGCAACTGCAGCAGCAGCAGCAGCAACTGCAGCAGCAGCAGAAACTGCAGCAGCAGCAGAAACTGCAGCAGCAGCAGAAACTGCAGCAGCAGCAGAAACTGCAGCAGCAGCAACTGCAGCAGCAGCAACTGCAGCTCCCTTTGATGATATTAATCCTGCATAATGCACATGCATATGCAGTACTAATCACATTCCTGCATTTCCCATAAATATGCTAAATTCCTCTTGATATGCAAATTCCTTTGTCAAGGCGCCCAGCTTATATATATGCTCCAAGCTCGTGTGCTGTTTCATTCAGACTCTGTCGCCTCGACGGACCTGGTTTTCACCTGAGGACGGCTGCTTGCGTTGTGGCCGAAACGTCGTGAGAATAATCTTATTATGTTTTATTTTTATTATTTTATTACTTCCCTTCTACGTGACTTTACCGAAAGAACCAAGAAGATGAATCCCTGCAGTCACGAAAGTTTTAAATCAAAATCTAGTGGAATCTTTAATAAAATAAACTTGAGTGGTTTGTTTTAATAGTGAGTATAGAAACAAACAAGATGTATTGTAAGAGTCACTTTATTTTTCATTAATATTAAAGAAGTGAAGTTGCCTTTGCATGCTTAAGCTGTTAATTTATCCATTGCATGGGTGGACCTTATCCTTATCAATCATCCAGACATTTGCCCCCCCAGAGAGTTTTGCAGGAGCCGCCACTGGGTTTCAGCTATGCTTCATAGATCCACACGCACAATAATCTATCTACAACGACATTCCCTACAATTGTGTATGTCAACAACAACTGGAAGCAGCGACAAAGAGGAGGCACTAAGATCGTTGCGAGATTATACAGTGTTCGAATAATAGATGAGGAGCGCTTCTATCTGAGGATGCTGTTGCATCACGTCAATGGCGCTACCAGTTTTGAATTGCTCTGAACCGTCGATGGTGTCGTTTACAACGCATTCAAGGAAGCTGCCTTTCATCGTCATTTGCTGGATTCAGACGAAGAATGGGCTCGATGCGTGCAGGAGTCCACGAAATGTCCAATTATATGCGACAGACGTTTGCTCACGAGTTGTGGAACAACCATTAACTTGACATGTTGCTGGATTATCTACGGTGTCATGACGAAAATGTTGCAACATGCCTCTGCACGACATCAACGCTATTCTCAAGCAACATGGATTGTCTTGTGCATCAATTGGTATTCCCGAACCGATATGCCATCCAATCAAAGCTCAGCTATACGATGCAGTGCATGAAGAACGAGAAGTGGAAACGGGAATTTCCTCCCTTAATGGCCAACAGTTTGAAGCTTTAACAGCAATAATGAGAGCTGTCGATGATGAGCATGCTCAGAACAGACTTTCTTACTTAGATTATCCTGCCGGATCTGGTAAGACTTTCCTGTACTCCACACTGCTCTCATTTGTTTGTGAAAAAGGTCACATCGCTCTTCCTTTTACCACCACTGGAATCGCAGCTACTTTACTGCAAGACAGACGAACTGTGCACAGCGGATTCAAGCTTCCAGTTCCCCTCCTTGACACCTCTTCTTTGTCGATGAGATTTAATTCGCCAGAAGGCGAAACGATGAGCTTCATTCATAATAATTGATGAAATTACGATGCTGACAAAGCATGGCCTTCGATGCATCGATCAGCTGCTGCGTGACATCGCGCAGATTCAATGCCCATTTGGTGCAAAAGTCATCGTTATCGATGGCGACTTCAGACAGACTTTGCCAGTTGTACCAAAAGGCACGAATGTTGATGTCGTCGAGTGCTGTATCAAATCCAGCGTATTATGGCAGCATTTTTGCAAGTTGACTTTCACGACAAATCTTCGGAGTGATGGTAAAAATGAGCATAACAATTGGCTGCTGAAAGTTGGATTGGGAAGTTTGCAGGAGTTATCTCGATTGTGGTTAGGTTCCATTGAAATTCCACCTCAAATGATCACGGTTGATGATCTGGTCACCGCAATGTACGGTCAAAGCTTGCAACACATGCCTGCCGAAGAACTTGTGAAAAAAGCGATTCTGGCACCTACCAACAAGGATACTCTCGATATGAACAGAAACATCATCACACAGCTGTCCGGAGATATCCAAAATCATTACAGCTCTGACTTGATCGTGTCGGAAGATTCTGCGGACGCATTTATTTACCTTCCAGAATTTCTTCACGCTTAAACACCTTCAGGAATGTCTTCACACACATTGGCACTGAAGACAGGCGTTATCATCATGCTGCTGCCAAATCTTAACCCGAAGAATGGCCTTTGCAATGGAACGCGTTTGATGGTCAAATCATTACAAAATAACTTAATCACCGCAGATATTGTATTGGAATGCAACCGAGGCGAAATCGTCTTCATCCCGAGAATCGACCTAACTCAAAGTGATGTCACTGTTCCTTTCGTACTGAAACGACGACAAATTTAAATAATTCCTGCATATGCGATGACGATCATCAAGTTGCAGGATCAGACTTTAGAAAATGTGGGTATTTATCTCAATTAACCCGTATTTTTCCATGGCCAGCTGTACGTGGCTCTGTCTAGATCTACATATCCTCAGCGGATCAAAATGTTCATCAAGGAAAGCCAACTGAGCCAACTGCAAGGACAACTTTTGAAAAGTGATAAGAGATTCACACAAAATATTGTATACCGAGAAATCTTCCAAAGTCCTTAATTTAATTTAATAAGTTAAGAATGTTTTCTTTATGTGCTACATTTCCTAATAAAATTTACAATGCCACAATAAAACGTTAATTTACATTTTTAATATTACAGCTTCCATCCTAGGACAAGCTAACAATTGAGTTCCATAAAATGGAATCGAAATTACACTGCTATATTATGGGGACCTCATTTGCCAGTAAAAATATGATAATTGGTTCTTTACCCTTCTATCTGGCAACAAAACTGACACCTTTTTGCAAGGAGTCATGTTTGCATAGACCGCAATACCTGCAGTCATAAATACAAACAAAAGACATAACTCTGATAATGTGCACTGTCCTTGAAGTTGATTGGTCCACACCCGAGACAGCTTTCCTTCGAGCCTAGTCTCATATGGGTTGGACCAGATGACGCCAAAAGGCGCCTTTTGGCGTCATCTGGTCCAACCCATATGAGACTAGGCTCGAAGGAAAGCTGTCTCGGGTGTGGACCAATCAACTTCAAGGACAGTGCACATTATCAGAGTTATGTCTTTTGTTTGTATTTATGACTGCAGGTATTGCGGTCTATGCAAACATGACTCCTTGCAAAAAGGTGTCAGTTTTGTTGCCAGATAGAAGGGTAAAGAACCAATTATTACACTGCTATATATTTTTTTTCAAACTATGGATTCAAATACAATTACCCCCACCTTTAAGACAATTATGGCTCTCGCCTGATGATGCTGGGTGTAGTTACCTGCAAAACGTCGTACTCGAATTGTAAATGTTGTGGGTTTACTCTCCAACACACAATTGTGCTGAACTACTGAGTAATTGGCAAGTTTTGTTTATGCGACAACCCTTCATAGTTGGGTTTGTCGGGTGGTGGCAGGTTTTACGACACATTTATATTAACGCGATCTAACCCAAAACACCTATGTTATGGATACTTTTCGTTTGTTGACGAAATGCATAAGAAGGTAAAATGTGGCATCGCAGGACATCTTTCAGTTCAACGGTTATTTCTTACACGGAGTATGCTGTTAAGCCAGTTACCCAGCAGTTTTTCGACAAAGGTCCGTGGTGCATCAGCAAGGAGCGAGCACAACAACGACAGAGTGATCCGTGGTACAGAGGAACGGACGACATCGGATCACTAAAACGTGAAAATATTAACCAAACGAAAAGGCACATTGCACCAAAAAGACGGATGAGAGGAGAAGTGCGCTATGGTGGAATCAAACGCGGTCGAACGAATGCAACTAACCATCATGGGAACGGCTAGTTCATGAGTGAGTCACATGGTTCGCGCCTGCCGTCTCCTTCAAAGTGGACGCTAAAAGTCTCGTGACTTCATTTGCCGGAGTAGGCCCGTTGTACAACCAGCATCCAAGGGTACGCCATGGTGGCGAGATGTTAATTACCTCGCCTGGTGTGCAGGAGGTCATGGGTTAGATCCTGACCTTGACGCCCGTTGTATATTTTGAATTTGTGATGGTCTCCCCGTGGTGGCGTGAATATTTCTTCAGCTGCTCCGTTTTTTCCCTCCACATTTACCATCATGGTTATAGTGTACTGTATTTGGCTAGTATACATGTCCACACGATAACCTATTTCGTTGAGCTATCATTTGTGGCCAGGTCGCTTCTGAAAAGAGCTACAAAGCTCAATGGGCTTTACCTGGTAAAATAAAAAATAGTTTGCCTATTATGAAGAAAAAAATACCCGCAAAATTGCCTGAATTAGAATATACATATCAATCATCTCCACGCTGCTATGAAAATATAGCAGGACTCCACTTAATGAGAGTGATTTTGGCTCAGTGAGACTTCCTTGCGTGCACGAACAAGCAGGATGAAGCAACGCAATAATAATAATGGTAATATCTCTCCCATGTGGCAGGTACCCATCGCGGTGGCACCTGGAGTATGGCAGCTACATGCTGGAGGGTATCCCAATGCAGCCGTACGGAAGCTCCATGGCCGAGCTGGCCAGCGTGGAGCCGAGCATGAGGCTGCGGCGGAGAGACGTGCTGGCTCGGCTACGCTCGAACGAGACAATATGCTCCCTCACCACCTTCCCCAGGTGAGAGGGAGTGTCGTCGGCGTCGCTCTCCTCTCAGGAGAAGAAGTAGGCACCTGCGTGTAAGCTGAGCCCCTTTGTATGTATGTGTAGTGTCGTAGATCTCTTCTCCCTTATTGAGGCTTGTGTGTGTGCGGGTGGCGTGCGGCGCACACACTCAGCTGGAGACGAGGTAGTCGCAGAAGGCACCGTCCTTCCTTCATTACATTCACTCCCCCAACTCCGGCCCCCTCTTTCTCTCACGACCACACTTCTGTATGACCCAGCCTAGACACGACCCTGTCCACGTTGCACCGATGGCGTCGACCGAGAAAGTAAACTACTGTCCGGCCGCGCAATGATCGGGCAAAGGCGGCAGCGACTAAGGCGGTGATGACGACATCTACGACGAGACGAGTGCACTCCCAGAACCAGCAGCCCAGAGCTCTCGCTCTCCACTGCGAGCTCTACATGATGCTCTAATCAAAGTTTCAAACTTTTGTTTCTTCTGCGCGTCGTCCTCACTGTGCTTGTGTAGTGACTGTGATTGTCATTGTGGGGTGCCGGGCTTATGAAGCCACGGCGGATAATGTGTTGGCATTATGTGTAGCCCGCTTACTGGGTGTAGTAGCAGCCCTAGCAGGGCTTGGGTGAGCGCTGGTCAGCGCGGAGGCACCAGGTACAGTGTGCGGTGTGGGCTCCCGGTGAGGGAGCGAGAGGGAGCGTCAGCCAGCCAGGGTTACGTTGGGGCATGATACGCTGGTTGACCTGCCGATACGTGACCGGATGATATTGGAGGGGGGCCACCGGTGGACGGGGGACGCTGGGCGGTTACGTGGTCTAAAAGAGCTCTCGGGGAGCCTTCAGGAAAGAACTCGAGAGGTGGGCGGGGCGAGGGATGGAGCTAGGCCGAGCCCAGGACAATATAACGGGGGCCCCGTGAGGGGCTCGGGGTTCTTCGTGTTGCTGGTGATGAAGATCCACGGTCGGGTTAAAGAAGCCTCTAGCTACGCGGTCTGGGACCCAGCTTGTGGTCCGGGCAGGGATAGTGAATCGTGTCTAGTTCTGCCATTCAACACCCAAGTGTAGGTTGTGTCGCAGACGTTGTCCTGGGAGCAGGACAACGTCTGCGACTCAGTTGGACTCACTACACTTGGACGACATGACAACAGAGGTGGGTCGCGGTGTCTATGTGCGCCATGGAACGGAGTCGCGAAAATCGTTTTTAATTTATTCCGATTTTGACTTCCGTTTATTCTGGACCCCGGAGTCCTGCCATACGGTTCAGGTGCAGCTGCTGTGCAGCAGTCAGTGCTGTGTCGCTACATATGTATGTTTAACTTCTTTCGTACTGAACGTAGCCAACCGGGCTAATCGCAGTGTGCAGGGGGAGGGTGGGGGTGGGGAGGACAACAAACTAAACACAACAAGCAGTTGTGGGGGCCGTCGGCCCCCGGGGTCCCTCCCGCCTGCATCCCCTATTCGTTTACGTTACCCCACCTCCCTATTACCCGCTACGGTTTCGCCGGCATTCGAACGCGACGCCCCTACGGTTACAGCCTCGCGCCGCGCTCCCACGCTGCGAGCATACGTGCGCACATCATCGTCGATCAAACGCCGTGCTCGCAGTATAGCCCTGTGCGGCACGTTCCCAATGCGCATCCGTATTATACACGTAGTGAACGTGCGCGCACACACGCATACAGCTCCACACGCGATACCCACTCTTGCGCCGCTCTGCGCAGCGCTCGCCGCCTGCTGGCCGCTCACGTTATGAGCGCGCACCTGGGGGACGCCGATTACGCACGCACGCCCACACACACGCCGCTCCGCGCACTCCAACTCAACTCACGTTATACTCGCGCACCTGTATCACACACGGAGTGAACACACGCGACACCCACTCTCGCACCGCTCTGCGCAGCGCTCCCCCGAGGCGAGCCGCAGCACCACAGAATCACTGCGTACCCACGCGCAACCCGCGCGCTCAGCTCCGCGCAGCGCTCACTCACGTGGCGAACCACTGTGCACACAGCGCACCCACACGCTCACACTGCACGACAAGATCACGCGAGACCACGCTTCGCTATTAATGATTTATTATATGCCACCTGCGAATTGATGTGGAATCAGTGAGTCGACGAGGCTGGCCTATTCCACTAAACCTGTACCTAGTCCCTATTTATCGGCTTACGATACCCTACTTCACCTCCCCACTCACTGTTTGGTGCCCGCGGAGGTTCGCTGCTCTCTGCACTAACAGCGTACCTCGATGCGTCGCACGGACGTCCGGGTCGCTGGCTGGAACTCCTGCTGGTCCGCTGGCCTGGAGAGAAGGGGCGATTTCCCCTCTCCGCTCCTCTATTTATCCTCCCTACCTCAAAGGGGATGCTGCGCTGAACAATGGGCTCGTGCACCCCAAGCCCGCGCACGGCGGTTCCCGGGCGCTGTTGATATGCTAATCAGTGCGCGACGTTGGCGGCGTACATCCTAATTACTCCCTTACCCTTCCTAACAATGGGGCCTGCGCGCTCAAGCGCAATTATCCCAACCCTCCATGACTATGCGCAACAGCCCCTGTGACCCCGCTATTCATGCTGTCCCGTGCTTCCTCTGCTTGCCCCGTCGACTCGTGGGGGTGTGTGTGGGGGGGAAATGCGCCTCAACCGCGGTGGCCGAATGCCCCACGCCGCGACCACACCATATTAAGGCCGGCCGCAGCGCCGCGGTGCCACGTAGCACGGGGGAGGTCATCCAATTCCCTGATCGCCGGAAACCGTGAGAATTAATCCCGATAAGGGTCTCTCGGATAAAAACCGGTCGATCAGGTAACCTTCCCTTCCAGCTCTATGGGGGGGGGGGGAATGCGTGCGGGTGTGTGCTTATGTGGGGCGGGTGATGGGGGGCAGTGCGGTGGGGGAAGCCGGGCGGCTCCCTGGCTCGGCAGAGCGGCCCCGTCGTTGTGGCACCACACAGTTTTAAAGTAATTACTTTTCGATCTGAATTAAAAAGCGCAAGGCCCGCCCAGATGTTCCCAGAAGCCCGGCACAGAATGCTACGTGTGGGGGGCGAGTGGGGGGCCCGAATTCACCGCCTGGAATATTTGCCCTCATTTCTCTCACGACCACGCTGCTGTACGACCCGGTCGCTGTGAAGATTTCGGTTCAAACAGGGAGGGCCAGCCTGCATGTCACGTATAGCTGGCTCGCCCGCATTCATGTATGGGCGCCCTCGCTCACCCGCTGACTCGCCTGTGCGTGGCTCCTGTTGATGCAGACTCGGCTGCCCAGGTTTCTCTCAGCCTGAGTGTGTGCCCCAGCACCGAGATGGACTATCTGCGTCTGTGTTCTTGCCGGACGAGGCTATCACCTGCCACCCGCGCTTCAGGTGAGAGTGTGTGGTGAGTGTTTGAGTGTGTGGAGTGAGTACATGAGTGAGTGCGTGAGATCTGGACAGTGTGGGGAGGGATAGTGTAGTAGCGGTCAGTGCGCTGCCCTACTAAACCCGGTAGCCCGAGTTAGATTCCCACTCATAGTCAACACGAATAACGATGATCTGAACCAGTCCTCGGCCTCCCCTAGGTCGACTCAGCCTCAAACGAGTACTTTGGAGTAAACTAAAATAAACTAAACAATTTTTTTTTTCACCAGGTAAGGCCAACAGAGCTATGCAGCTCTTTTCCAGAAGCGACCTGGCCAAAAATGATAGCTCAACAAAGTTTCTTATCGTGTGGAAATGTATAGCAGTCAAATACTCTAAACGCATGTTTCTAAATGTGGAGGGAAAAACCAGAGGACCCGGAAAAATTCCACGCAACCAAAGGGACAACATGCAATTCCAAATATACAGGTGGCAGCATAGGGATCGAACTCACGACCTCCTGTATACCAGGAAATGTAGTTAACATCTCGCCACCGTAGTGCCCCGGGATTGACGTCAGGGGGCAGATAATGTTGATGTTGCGGGGTACCATTACGGAGGGCCGTTGCATTCATTTGAATTTCACAGAAACGTCGTCGGGTTTCGTTTTTTGTCATCTCTTGCCCGCAGTACGATTACGAGGAACATCCGCGAGAGGCGAGGAGAGAAGGTCGTGGTGAACGTACCAAGTGGGTATCATTAAAACCAGCCGCCCCCCTCCCCCATTCTTTTCCCTTTCACCTGCAACGTACAACAACAGGAGTATGTGCTGCGCTTCAAACCTCGCTTCCCCCCTCGTCTACCTCCCCCACCCCCCTAGTCTTCAGGGACAGAAACACTCCATCCCCATTCATCGACCAAATCCCGCACGGTGACGAGGAGGCGGCCATCGCGATGAAGGCTGACCACATTTACATGGACGCGACGGGATTCGGCACGGGAAACTGCTGCCTGCAGGTAGAGCTAAGAAAAAAACTATTAAACTATTGTCAGGCATTTCACAACGGTGTAGCAAGTTGAAACTAGACTATTTTAATAAGCAATGCAACTGTGAACCCAAATGATGGACCATATAATAGACCAGTGTGGTCTCCGTCTCTTCATTGGAGGAATAACAGGACTGCATGTGCTCTCTCCTGAAGCCCTTTCGTTGCCAGCAGACCTCAACATTTATATCTAGCTCCCCAAAAGTGCCATACACGAGACAAACATAATTTTTTAAAATTGTAGGAAGGGCAGGTAATGGCTGAGGCGGTGCCGCAAACAACCGCTGGCAGCCAGATCGCCGACAGGACACTTGGCAGGCACGGAAGCAGGCAGGAGACTTGTGGATGGTGTTGTATATGTCGGGTCTTGAAAAATTTATAAAATTAATTAAATTAATACAAATTACATTAAAATGGAAAATGCGTAATTATCAGAAACCATGCTGATTTATGTAAGTATGTGCATAAATTACGCTAATTGTTAATGTTTAATTGTGATTAGTTATGCAAATGCATAGAATCATGCTAATGCATGTCGTTATGATAATTAGGCTCTGCCTCGTTGTCTAGGGTCGTATTATCAATCAGGATAATACAATGAATTGTATGAAGTTAAACAATTGTGATGTAATTATGCTAAATTAAGGTCGGCTTCGTTGTCTAGGGTTGTATTATCAATCAGGATAATACAATTATTCTTGGTTTAACATTTACTGATTGTGTCTTAGTGTTTTTATATCAGGTCTCCAAATTCAAATCTCACCGCAGGATACAGTTCTCATAATTAAGATTATTAAGTATGAACTTTGGAAGGCACCATTCAGACACTTCTGTGTTAAGCAATTTACATTTCTAACCAAAAACATAACACTCTAATATGCTTGGAATTGTCCACACAGTACACCTGGAGGTGTTCTCCTCATTAATCCGTACATTTAACCCTCAATGGTTACGTTTGTAAAATTGGGTAACAGAACAATATATTCATTCCTGAGAGTAACACGAGCATATACGGCAGTTGGAAAAAGTCCTTTAAAATGAATGTGACGATATTCAAACGAACGGCAATAAAGAAACATGTTCCGAAGGCAAAAGTAGGCCTCAATGAATTCATTGGTAAGATTATGTAATTAACGAAATATCTTGGAATAATGGTGTGTGGCAGTGTGCCTGCTTCAGCAAATGCTTATCAATTGGCTAAGGCTTCAATTAATTCGCAGGCAAGATTCTGTGATCAAAAGAAAGATTTCAACACAATAGTCTCTCTGCGAGTGTGTGGATTCATAACATAGGTTTCTAGACGTTTAGTTTCATCAATGAATTCATTGGTAAGTTATGCAATTAACAAAAATAACGACTAACATACTTCTAAACGACCGTATCCACATAACTCAATGGTCATCAATGTTCTTCATCATCAGCTAATAGTTGACGCACTATTATTATTAGTCTTCTTCTTATTCCAGATATGTGCGTGTTGGTGGTTTGTCTTCTTGTTCAACACTGTTGTGTTAAGCAGACGCCGGGCGATGCGTTGTGAGTGTGTGAGTGTGGGGTAGGGTCATACACACAGGGTTTGAATCATTTGGGCGACATACCCATCACTACCTGTGAACAGTGCAAACAGGCTCTATCCCCAGGTGCCCACTCATGTGCACAAGCACGGGAACCCCTCAGCCGCTCATTTGCTAATTTACGCGAATTGGAATTTTCCCTGGAAGCCTCCCGCCCTTCGGAAAGCTTTTGAAGGCTTAGCGCACGGAATCAGAAATTTTAGATTTAGCCTTGTTGGGCAGGGCTTGTAACTGGACATCAATCGGGGGGTTGTGTTGTCTCCCGTACATTAAAAAAACGGCGAGTTCCCGGTGGATGCATGAGGAGCCATCCTATATGCAGCTAGGACTCCGGAAATTTGCAAATCCCTGTCGAGTTGTGACTCGCTGACCTGATGGCTCAACGTAGAGGTCAGAATCCTGTGCAGACGCTCAACCATGCCCTCCGTCTGCGGGTGGTATGGTGATGTGCGTACTTTCTTTGTTCCCAACAAATCGCACACTTCGCGCAACAATTTTGAAGAATTTATTTTTGCCCTGATCAGTCAGAAGACGTTCAGGAGCACCCTTGTCCATTACATAGTCATTGAGGAATGCCTCAGTGATCGTCGCCACCGACTGGTTGGGGAGCTGCCAGGTCATAGGCCATCGTGAAAAATGCTCGACTCCCACTAGGAAATACTTAGTCCCACGAGGGGTAGTGGGAAATGGACCAGGGATGTCCAGAGCAACTATTTCATTTACGCGGGAGACCTGAATCGATTACAATATTGGACAACAAGGTTTCACCAGCGGTTTCTGCCCCATGCACTGCACACACCCTTTCAACAAATTAGTAACATCCTCAGCCATGCTAGGGTAGAAGAAGTCCAGCTTAAGTTGGCCAATGTCTTATGCACACCCAGGTGCAACAGGTGCTCGTGTACCACCCAAATGACCTTGCCCCGCAGGGCAGTGGGCACAACAATGTTATAACGGCACAACCCTCTGTCCCAATGCATGAGCAATCCGCCTCTAAGAATGGGAAAGGCGACACCCGTCGATCCCCACCCACATCATCCTCCCTGACACAGCGTCACAATTTAAGCAGGGAAGCTACCTCAACCTGGAGGCGCCCCATTCGTCTTGGTCCAACCCAATGACGGCATCACGCGCCACTGGACCCGCGGCCACTTCAGATGTTACAACCTCGGCTGCTGCCGCAAGGGAAGGGGGCGAGTACTCGTTGGGTGAATTACAGCGCCCGGAGCCCGAAAAACATGCGCACCCGGCAATCACAACAGGATATCAGTGTTCGTGTGTCAGGAGCCTTTGCAATAGGTAACATTTAAGGAATAGTCCTGGAGGACCTCCAACCAACGTGAAAGTTGGCCAGATGGCTGTTTAACACGCAGCGCATATTGTAGCGCTGCGTGGTCAGAGTGCACCTCAAAGCGTCTACCATACAAATAGGTGTGATACTGTTGCACGTAAACCACAATAGCTAACAGTTTCCAGCGTGTGACACAGTACCGTTGTTCGGCCGGAGACAGCTCTCTGCTTCCGTATGCGACAACCCTATCGAAGGCCATCGATATCTGGAGACAGAACAGCTCCAATTCTGGTGTTACTAGCGTCTGTATCAAGGAAGAACAGCAAGGAAAAGTCAGGAAAGCAGAGGGTAGGGGCGTTCACCAAGCCACCCCAAAGCGCAACAAATGCGGCCTCCTCCTCCCCCCAATGGAATTTATGACCCTTTTCCATGAAGTATTGGAGAGGTTTAGTGATGGTAGTGACCCTGACTAAAAAGCAGTGGTAATTTGGATGCAAATCCTATTAAACTGCACACCTCCCCCACCGACGTGGGGGTCGGGCAAATACGAACACGCGCGGTTTTGTCTGGGTCAATCACAATACCCGATTCACTTACTATGTGGCCAAGATACCGAACCAATTTCTGAAGGTGGCCGCACGCATTTTGAGAAAGACAGTGCGTAGCCGTTCCAGGTGTTCGTCAAACGTACGGCTGAAAACTATAACATCATCGAGATATATCACACACGAGTCCCGCTGGAGACCAGCCACAACCAGTTCCATTAATTGCTGGAACATAGCCGGCGTGGAATGAAGACCCATCGGAAGCTGATTGAATTTGAACAAGTCTTGTGGTGTATGAATGGCTGTTTTGGGCTTAGAGGCTTTGTCTAACGGCAACTGCCAAAACCCGGATAGGAGATCAAGAGTGGAAAAGAACCGCGTTCCTGCTAGAGCATAATGTGAATCGTCCATTCGAGGTAGAAGATACGCATCAGCAACAGGGACCTTATTAACCTTACGGAAGTCAACACAAAAGCGCAAGCTACCATCCTGCTTTTTAACAACTACAATTGGGGCTCCCCATGGGCTGGTGGATGATTAAATAATATTTGTGGCTAACATTTTGTCAACCACCAGCCAAACGTGTTCTTCTTCCTTAGGGCTCAACCGGTAGGGATTCTGCCGGATGGGAGTAGCGTCACGCGTATCAATGTGATGACTCAAAAGAATAGTGCGGCCGATGTCAAAGTTCCCTTTAGCTAAAAACATCTGAAAATTCGCGCAAAAGCGCCCTCAATTTCCCCCTCTGGACCTTGGACAAATCCGTATTCTCCGAACAAAGCGTATCCATCCACCCCTCATCAGGACTTTGGTGGGGCCGCGTATTCGATGTGGCACCCACACTGCCAACAATGCTTTCCTCATAAAGCACTGGTGACGCATGAGCTAGCATGGTATCTTCTTCGACAAACGTGTCTAAACCCTGCGTTATGAACCTGAATGAAGGGTTCCTGATCGTTGGATACCAACATCTGAGCCCCTACTAACGTCAATCCACGACTGGCTTCATTAGGTCCCAAGAGAATTCCTCCCGCCGTCACTTCCTGGTCTAGTGGCTTTCACAATCGTAGGGGGACCAACATTCGTGCGTCGGGGGGAATTTTAACCATCCTACATGCAAATGCTTGCACGGTAGCGTTAGCTGTGCACAAGCAAGTGGGAGAAGGCAAGAATGCTATTCAACGGCCGGATGGTAATTCCAGGCACCTCTGGTCAATCTAAATTTCCAGGGGCATCCTTCCCAGAAAATCAGTCCCGAGCAAGCAAGGAATAGCAAAGGACGTTGAAACAAGAACTGGTCCCCATAAATTTGACATCCAAAATACACACCTCTGTTGTTATTATCCCAATGAGCCGCCGTTTGTGGTGAAGCACAGAGCTTCGACAGAGCATAAGGAACAACAATTAGGGGTCAAGATATTATAAATCAACTCTGAAATGATGGTCGCTGACACACTGGTGTCAACGAGCATCCTAATTTCAACCCCTTCTATCAATCAAATGACAGCGGATGAACCTTTAGTCACGGCCACCACTCAATTGGCCAGCTTTGACCACTGACCCAGTAGGAGCGGCCGGCCGGCCCGATTGAAGTCAGAATCCTCTTGCACCGACGCACGACCGGAACAGAAACTGAATGAAAGAGATGGGTGTGGGATGTGTCGTGACTCGCCTTCGGGTGCAGTGGAGCAAAGGACGGTCGGGCAGATGATGGTGGTGGTCCGGGGAGGCATCGTCGTGGCACGCGTCAGCCCTACGAGACATGCCCTAGCAGGCCACAGCTGTAGTACATGACGAGCCCGCTCCCAGGACGAGATGTCTTCCGCCATCGCTGGTCTTCCGCCCATCCCACCATGCCGTCCCCTCACCCGCCTCCGCTCTGGGTTGATGCGCAGGCTGGGATGGGCTCTACGTCTTCAGGTGTATTCGTCCCCTCACAGGACGTGGTACACCCCGCCAACCCCTTGTGCCATTGCAAGAGCTGTTGAGCCTGGATGCATCTTTCAACATTGATAGGCGAAAGATGGTCGTCTACAGGCGGCAGGACGATATTGAGGTCCTTAGCCAAAGCCAGCAATCTCTCGAGGACCAACGAGTCGACTCCGTTGTGGCCCATCCTCGGAAAGGCAGCCTTCACTAGCATCAAAAGTGCGCTATGGAAGTCGAGGGGAACTTGTGGTGCATGTTCGACGGTGACTTGTAAATTGCTGCCATTTGGTCAAAGGCTTGAGTCAGCATGGTCCTCTTTGACGGTGGGATGGTGAGAAACACTGCCAGGGCGTCGTCATCAATGACTCCACCTCGGTCCACTCCGCTAAGTCGGTGTTCATCAGGAACCGACGCTTGACGGCCACCCAGTCCCCTCCGGCGGCTGTAAATTATTTCACGAAGGGCAGTCATCACCGGAGAGATGGAATTTCCACAGGCGATTTGGATGTAGCTTCGGATTTGGCGGGCTCTGCACTCTTCTCTTCTGACAAGATGGCAGCCACAAGCGCGGACTGCGCCACAGAGGTTCCCACTTGGGGGGAAATGGCGGCGGAGGCTTTGTTTCCACGCGGTTCCGCTGCACCTCCGTCAACCGCTGGCTCCTTGCGGTGGAGCTCCATGACGATTGACGCTGTGGCTTGCAGGAGCTCTGAAAGGCTGGAGTATGCCATCCGGCGCTCCTTCCCCGATGGTAGTGAGCCGTTGCGCGCCGGGTCGGTGCACTACTCCGCCGACAGCACCTCAGGGGTTGCCATCCCCCATGCTGTTTGAGGGATGAGGTCTTCATCTTCATTGTCCGATGTCCTGGTACGTAGTCTGCATCACGTAGTCATGCCCTAAGACTTCTACACTCTTTGGATCTTTCGGTGAAGTAACATAGGTATAAAATAAAATAAATCACTACATTTCGGGAGCAACACAAGTGTCTGTCATCAGGTGGGAAAGCATGATCTGCTGCTGAGGCAGACTGTTTTAAAAGGTTTGAAATGGGTGTAGCCCAAGGGTCATAAAGAAGTGGACAGGGCTAGTGATATTAATGTGAGAAATTAGCATGTAACTGTAAGAATGGAGAGCGGTGCAATCCAAAGGCATGAGAGCGCAATCCAAAGGACATGTGAGCATGAGAGTGCAATGCAAAGGACATGGAAGCATGAGAGATGTAAGAGAGAGGCACGTGTGCCTTTTGGCGTCATCTGGTCGAACACCCTGAGACCGTCTCTGGTGTGGACCAATCAATTTCAAGGACAATGCATACATTATCAGAGTGCTGTGTTTGTTTGCATTTTGACCACAGGTATTGTGATCAAAATGCAAACATTATCCCTTGTAAAAAGGTGTCAGTTTTGTGCCAAATAAAAGGGTAAAAAAACTATTATATTTTGCTACTGGCAAAGGAGGTCTTATGATGTACCATATGTTTTCGGCATTTGGAGGCCGAGAAGACCAGAATCAGTGATTTAGCTGATAATGTGTTCAAAGAGGTAGTTATATATCTGGACAGCAGAGTGAAGCAGAGCTTCTGTCCAGGGAGCAATGTTCTGGGAACCTGGGGGAGGCAAGGGCATGCCGGGATCAGAAACATCTTCTGGATCGCCAACCCAGACAAGCCCCTGGCTGAATTCAAGCCCTGATTTGGCTGTGCTTCCTTGTTCGCGCCTGTTAACTGATCACTGGACAGCGCTTGAGATATCGTGACTCGTCGGTGATAAACACCGCGTTGCAATTAACTCTGCAGGGGGAGTATGTACGTGCTCGCGAAAATACGTGACTATGGATCGGAACATTTAGCTCTGGACATTTTAAATAATAATAAACATCATAACGCGTTGTTCCCTAGGCACCGGGTTGATTGCCATTTGTTTTTGCAGCCTTCGGTTGTCGTTGCCATGAGGCGACAGCGTTGAGCTGGCACCACTGAGAATCTTCACAATCAAAATATCAATCTGCGCATCTCCCTTTTTGCAGCCCCTGACAACGTGCAAGTGGCGAATCGCCAAATCGCGGTTTGACTCCATCGACAGCTTCCTGTCGCCCGGCGGAGCGCAGTTCAATGACCTGGAGCTGCCCAAGGACGAGGACGTCCACCTGCAGCTCCTGGATGCAGGCACGGAATTTCTGCCTGCTATGCTCACCTCCACTGCCAGGCTCACCTCCCCCAACATTCTCACCTCCCCTGCTTTACTCACCTCCCCTGTCGTACTCGCCGCTCACCTCCTCTGCCATGCTCACCTCCCCCGTCGCGCTCACCTCTCTGCAACAATTACCTCCCCCGCCATGCTCACCTCTCCCCTCCTTCAATTTCACCGACCGTTTATTGGGGTTATGGATTAATCGCGCATGCTGTGAAACACCAAAGGATTTTTGACTTGCCGTGCCGGTGCAACTATCTACTGCTCTCACTGGTCGAGGGCACGTGACTCGGTGCTGCGTGACCACAGGCATGCCGGCGAGGAAATCATGATACGCCACGTCGATTGTGATTGGGCTGAGTACGTCTACTGGCTGGTGTCCCTTGCAGGCCCCCAGTTCCCAACCTCCATCTGCTCCAGCTCTCCCCTCTTCGCTTTTTAAACTGGTTAGATCGAGGATATCAAGGCAATCGGTAAGGTTTTTCACTTAAACAAAACATACCCAATTAGTTACTTGTTCAGCACACCAGTTGGGTGTTGGAGAGTAAACCCTACAACATTTACAATTCGAGTACTGCGATATTTCTGCTGGTAATTCCAGGAGCAATTAAGACCAAAACAGGAGTAATTTTCCCCATTTCTGGCTATCGCCTAATGAAGCTGGTTTTAATTATTTTATTTTTAGATTTGTCAATGCAATGTGTTTTTCTTCTTAATCTAGTGACATGCAATGTGTGTTTGCATGAGCTGTGTGTGCATGTGGAGAAGAGGTAGTGTAGCAGTAAGCACGTGCTGCTCTACGAAACTGGTGACCAGTGATGATTAACTGAACTGTTCGTGGGCCTCCCCTAGGTCGACTCAGCCTCAAATGAGTACCTGGTGTGGTGTGTAATCATCGCTACTGGGGAGACAAAGACGGTTGGACGTGGTGCTGGCCATGTACTCCCCTCGTATACCGTTCCAGCCGTCATCGGTGCTCTCTAACAGCGCTTGCTCGCAGCAGCCTCTGTTCAAGGGCACACGGGGGGGAACTTTGTATCTTTTTGCATGAGCCGTGCCTCTGGCTCACAGGCATCGATCCGCTGCTCGCTCAGCACTTTGCTCACCTCTTCATCCGCGACCCCCTCGTGCTGTTCTGCGAGAAGATCCATGCCGACGACGATGAGAACGAGGCCTACCACTTTGAAGTGAGTCATCCGCCAGTGTACTTTATGAATATTATTCCGCTTGTTTACCCATAAAGGTCTCGCCAGGTCCCAAAAATATTTTGCAGGAGGGTGCCGCCAATTTTTGCATAAGCGGGGGGGGGGGGGGGGGGTTGCGATATTGCTGCAGCTGCCTCTGTGTGCTGCTAATTTGAGTAATTTGCAGGTAAATTTCAGCATTTTATGTTGTTTGGCAAACGTCAGTTGCATCGCATGGTGTATTTTTTTAAAGCTGTGGGTTGAAACCGGGGAACCCGTAGGAGACCCATAAAGAACAGGAGGAAAAACAGACACAAAAATTTCCACGCTGAAAGGTCCCCAAGTCGGGAATCTAACCCAGGCATCTTCCTGCTTTGAGATGTGTTAATACCGATCCGCCCTGCCAACCCTCGAATTCCCCACTTGCGGTGCTACCAGTCGTGTGCCTACCTAACCGGTAACCCCATAAAATATTCCGTGAGAAGTGATAGCCTGACTGGAGAACACCCGCAAGGGATCGGCACGTGTCTTCCGTGATCGTGGGCGCTGGCCGGAGCGCCCACCCCGTGTGCGTGCGTGTATCCGTGTGCATGTGCATTGCAGTGCATCCAGTCCACAAACTGGCAGACATTACGCTTCAAACCTCCACCGCCGAACACCAACATCGGGTGGCGCGTCGAGTTCCGGCCGATGGACGTAAGCCTCTCCGAGAGGGCGACGCGGATTATACGTTGAGGTGGAGTCATACTGAGATGCCTCTGAGGCTTGGGAAAAAGAGGTGATGATGGGAGGAGGGAATTTCAAAATGGAGCAGTACATGCGAAGAAGCAGAACCAGAAGCGTTCTGACCCCGCAGTGTAGTGAGTTAGTGGGTGAATAAGTGAGTGGATGAGTGAGTGAGCGATTGAGTCGGTGGGCGAGTGTTGTTGTTGTTGTTACATGCAGTGTGGTTATTGAGTGAATGAGTGAGCGGGTGAGTGAGTGGGCGATTGAGTGGTTGAATGAGTGTGTGGGCGAGTGTGTGGGCGAGTGTGTTATTGTTGTTGTCACATGCAGTGTGGTGAGTGAGTGGATGAGCGTGTGAGTGAGCGGAGGACTGAGTGAGTGTGCTGTGACATGCAATCGTGGTGGTTGAGCAGTGTGGGTCAGATGAAGCAGGCAGCGTGTGATGCAGGTGCAGCTCACGGACTTTGAGAACGCGGCGTACGTGGTGTTTGTGGTGTTGCTCACGCGCGTCATCATCTCCTATGGTCTCAACTTCCTCGTGCCACTGTCAAAGGTAAGGAGTCGCGTCCCTCCCACCGACCATGCGAGCGCTGCCGGGAGGCTCATCCTGGTCGCATTGCAACCCATCCACTTGTATATAGGCTGGCGCAAGTGGTAGCGCTTGTGCCTCAGAGTAAGAATGGCCTGGGTTCGATTCCCGACTCGGGCACGTGTGAGCATTACGGCAAGGCTCGACCAGGTCGCATTACAATTCAGCGGAAACAGGAATTGCGGGAATGTTTGAAACAGCACGACGCTGCAGCCCGACTTCCTAACCTAGTTCCACCCACTCACTGATTCTAGACACGTGCCTGAGCTGCGCAGAATCTGTCAATCCCAGATCCATTTCTTCAGCCATCTTCGGGCCCACAGATAATCCGACTTTTATATGGAAGACAAGTATCCTCGATTGTGACGGATAGCCTATGACAATGGTAGAGCTTGTGCCTCAGAGTTAGAATGCCCTGGGTTCTCTTGCCGATTCGGGTACCTTTATGAGTGGATTTTGTTCTGCATGGGTTTCCTCCAGGTTCTCTGGTTTCCTCCCATAGCTTAAACAACAAAAAAACCTCCACACAAAATGTAACTTGTACGTTAGTCCCTCGGTTAACAGTGACATCAGGATGACGGTTTTTGCAGTCAACGTTTCACCTCCCATAATGACCCCATAATTTCGACTCACGTTAGCATTGTGACTAACGGTACGTTTTCGTTACGTACACCGCTCCCCACACAGTGCCGCTAGCGCTGCAAGGTTGCCATCTCCTGGCTCAGGCTAGGGTATGGCAGTGCAGCAAGTGGATTCATTGCCATCTGTATTCCATCTGCAACCCCCCCCCCCTTCCGTTCACACACAGTGGGTTTTCTTTGAGTGCTCTGCTTTCCTCCCACGTGTACAAACACACGTTCATAGAGTTGGCCTAAGCGTCCAAATACAGTGACTCCTCTTACGAACGAGTTAGGTTCCAAAGGTCTGTTCATAAATCGATTTGTTCATAAGTCCAACTTTACTCCCGTCGATTCCAAACCCATTGTACGGCATGTACACTAAACTCGGGGAATGGGTTCAAAAGTTGAAGTATCTCATGTAGTTGTTGATGCCACTGTTTTCTTTATGTTCTGCAGATGTAGATGCCACTGGTTCTTTAAGTTCTGCAGATGTAGATGCCACTGATTATTCATGTTCTGCAGATTAACCTATAGGCGCGACTCCGGGGTCCCATAAGCCCCTGGCTCTCGCATAAACTGCTTTGCAAAGTATTTTTTATCAAAGTTTCAAAGTTTTGCTTCTTCTGCGCATTCGTCCTCGCTGCGCTTAGACGACATGACAACAGAATGATCCATGCCAGGTGGTTTGCGGCGTTTCTGTGTGTGGTGGGACGGAGTCGGCAAAAACAAATTAGTTACGGTTGAATATCCGTTTATTCGGGACCCCGGGGTCCCACCATAAGGTTCAGATGTAGATGCCACCACTGACATCAATTGCGCTTCAGTTGAATTTATGACTGTTCGGTCTGTTCGTATCTCCAAAAATTCGTAAGTCGAATGTTCATACGTAGAGGAGTCCCTGTATTGGGCCTCAGAGCTTGGAAATTTTTTAGCACCAGGCTCTGGTTCCGGCGCCCCTCAATATTACAAAAACTGCAGCGCATTACAAATGTTATTTTTTTAAATTTGCGACTTTTTTTATTGCTTCTCTCAAGCACCTTTGGTGCATAAGGTTGCCGCCTGAATGTTTGGCACGTCCCTGACCATCAATTCTCTTCTGTCGCAGGTAGATCAGAACATCAGGAAGGCGCAGAAGAGGAACGCTGTGCTGGAGGAGATGTTTTATTTCAGGAAGGACATTCAAGCAGGCAAGTCGAGCCATTACAAATCAGACGTTGTCTTTTTCACAACTTTACTCTGATTGTGCTCTCGGTGTCGAGTCACGAGATGAAGAATACATTCAGAAATCTCACATGGCAGTGACCCACCCCCATCCCCGTGTTAGACAATAGCCCACAGAAGTGATTATCCCGGAACTATTTTTGAGATCCCTTCTGCAAATGACCTCCATGTCACATGGTAGGGGGCAGCACTCTCCTACTTGCCCCGCTGCCAACAGCAATGTTTGTTGCATGGCAATCAACGCGATATTTGAAGTCTCACAGCTGGAATTTGGCGAAGTTAAGTGCAGAACCAAATTTTACGTCATGGATTTTGTAATTTTTGAGCAATCATTGTTGACCGGGCTGAGACCATCTACTCATCGCAGCGGTGTGGGCTCAGCCACTCTGATCTCCAAGCCAACGATCTGGACCTCCTCGCAACCCAAGCCTTCACCCCAGCCTGCCCTGCATGTTTGTGCACATCACACGCGCGCTTAACCTCGCTCACGGTCGCTCGCCAACTCGCGTGAACGTCAAATTGCCATGCGGTTTCTATTTTTTTGTGGCCAGAGGTGGACGCTCCCCCAGCAGACGGCACCGAGTCCGAGGGCGAGGTGGGGATCCTCATGAGCATTGACACCATCATCAACGGCAAGGTGGGCAACCCGGCGGGGCAGGGCGCACAGTCATCCTCATAGTGTCAGGCCCTGTGGGCTCTTGCAGCATCAGGCTCACTCTTTGCCATCCACCGCCATGGCTGTCCAGAGCACCGCAACAATCTCTGCTGTATAACGTCTCACTCACCGTTTTGCGCGGTGGCATAGTGGTCGGCATGCTGTGGCTAACATCAGTTGTGGAGCGAAATCTGAACCAGTTCTGGAGACTCCGCCACGCACCCCCCCCCCCCCGTGCCCATGAAAACCCCATGCTGACGCATGTGATGAATGGTCAAAACCCCATGACTGCTTGGGGAGGCCATCATCGAAGCGGTGGATTGACAGTTGTACATTATGATTAGAGCTCGTCTCCCAGTGATCATGTGAGCTGCCTTCAAGCATGCAGCTCCACTCAAACCAGTCACTTGCACTTCCCGTGCTGCAGACTGGCTCACCACTTCAGTCATGGATCCATCCCACATATAATCATCAGCCATGATCAATACACTGCTGGATTCAGGCCTCCACCAAGTCATTGCCATTTGTCGCCATCCTTTGATGCAACAAATCGATGTGACAAGCCTGGTGAGAGTAACACTGATAAACTGAAGGCTGCAGCTGACACTGCCTGCCATGGCGTGGTGTGCTGCGGTGCAGTGTGATCAATTGTAATGTGGTGTGCTGTGGTGTGGGGTGTGGTGTGTACGGTGTGCTAGGGTGTGTGCGGTATGTGATGTGTGGGCTGTGCTCTGATGTGTTGTGTGTGCTGTGATATGTGCGGTGTGTGCTGTGACGTTTGCGGTGTGTGCTATGGTGTTTGCGGTGTGCTGTGATGTGTGGTACGTGCTGTGATGTGTGTGGTGTGTGCTGTAGTGTTTGCGGTGTGTGCTGTAGTGTTTACGGTGTGCTGTGCTGTGTGTAGTGTACTGTGGTGTGTGCAGAGTGCTGTGGTGTGTGCGGAGTGCTGTGGTATTTACGGTGTGCTGTAATGTGTGCAGTGTGCTATGATGTGTGCGGTGTGCTGTAGTGTTTACGGTGTGCTGTGGTGTGTGCGGAGTGCTGTGGTATTTACGGTGAGCTGTGATGTGTGCTGTCGTGTGCTGTGCAAGCACAGGTGGGGTTATTCCAGGGCCTCGTCCCCATAGTCAACAGCTTCCTGGAAGACATGGAGGTGGACGTGGAGACTCGGTGCACGATCTCCCACTACATGGAGCTCATCAGCAAGCGTGCGTCCGGTGAGTGCACTCCAGCGGATCATCACCCCTTCTCCAAGTGCGAGCGATGAGGAGTCCTGATCTCGTGCAAGCCTCATCGTCGCTGTGCAGGGGATGATGGCTGACAGACGAGACCGGTGTTGGAATGGCAGCCATAAGAGGGGAAGCAACCGAGGAGGTGATGACTGCAGATTGTTGATGGCCAGGAGCATAGAAGCGGGAGTGTTGTACAGTACAATTGATTTTGGGGACACTGCCTTCCGCTGCCGACGACGTAGCACCGCAGCAGCATGTAACGCCTCGGCGTGCACGGTGGTCGCCCATCCAAGCGCTCTCCGGGCTCAGGAATCCTGATCGGGTTGCGTGGTGCGACAAGCTTGGGCGCCTAACTTGCGCGAGAGACTCCGCACACCGCTACGTGCATGGGAGCGGTGGTCGTCGTTGTCTCCTCCTCCGCTGCCGCTGACGACGCTGCGGCGACCGCGTGCGCGTCTCGTTGGTTTCCCCCAGGGGAGCTAGGAACGACGGCCCAGCGGCTTCGCGCCTTCGTGAGCGGCCACCCCGACTACGCACACGACAGCGTCATCTCGGAGCGCGTCAACTATGACCTAATGCTGCGTTGTGACGCCCTGTTGCGTTCGCGGCCCCACCGCCATGGCGCGGACCCCTTGCACGAGCTCAGCCACGGCGCTTGCCAGACTGGCTAGCTTACGTCACTCGTCACGCTCAGCGCACTTACCACGCCCACCATGCTCGCGATCCTCACCACACTCACCTCACCACACTCACCTCATTCGCCATGCTTACCTCGCTCACCGCACTGACCTCGGTCACCACGCTCACCACACTCACCATGCTCACCATGCTTATCACACTCTCCTCACTCACCTTGCTCCCCGCGCTCACCACACTTGCAATAATCACCGCGCTCACCACACTTGCAACAATCACCGCGCTCACCACACTTGCAACAATCACCGCGCTCACCACACTTGCAACAATCACCGCGCTCACCACACTTGCAACAATCACCGCGCTCACCACACTTGCAACAATCACCGCGCTCACCACACTTGCAACAATCACCGCGCTCACCACACTTGCAACAATCACCGCGCTCGCCACACTTGCAACAATCACCGCGCTCACCACACTTGCAACAATCACCGCGCTCGCCACACTTGCAACAATCACCGCGCTCGCCACACTTGCAACAATCACCGCGCTCGCCACACTTGCAACAATCACCGCGCTCACCACACTTGCAACAATCACCGCGCTCACCACACTTGCAACAATCACCGCGCTCACCACACTTGCAACAATCACCGCGCTCACCACACTTGCAACAATCACCGCGCTCACCACACTTGCAACAATCACCGCGCTCACCACACTTGCAACAATCACCGCGCTCACCACACTTGCAACAATCACCGCGCTCACCACACTTGCAACAATCACCGCGCTCACCACACTTGCAACAATCACCGCGCTCACCACACTTGCAACAATCACCGCGCTCACCACACTTGCAACAATCACCGCGCTCACCACACTTGCAACAATCACCGCGCTCACCACACTTGCAACAATCACCGCGCTCACCACACTTGCAACAATCACCGCGCTCACCACACTTGCAACAATCACCGCGCTCACCACACTTGCAACAATCACCGCGCTCACCACACTTGCAACAATCACCGCGCTCACCACACTTGCAACAATCACTGCGCTCACCACACTTGCAACAATCACCGCGCTCACCACACTTGCAACAATCACCTCGCTCACCACACTTGCAACAATCACCTCGCTCACCACACTTGCAACAATCACCTCGCTCGCCACACTTGCAACAATCACCGCGCTCGCCACACTTGCAACAATCACCGCGCTCACCACACTTGCAACAATCACCTCGCTCACCACACTTGCAACAATCACTTCGCTCACCACACTTGCAACAATCACCTCGCTCACCACACTTGCAACAATCACCTTGCTCACCACACTTGCAACAATCACCTCGCTCACCACACTTGCAACAATCACCTCGCTCACCACACTTGCAACAATCACCTCGCTCACCACACTTGCAACAATCACCTCGCTCACCACACTTGCAACAATCACCTCGCTCACCACACTTGCAACAATCACCTCCCTCACCACACTTGCAACAATCACCTCGCTCCCCACACTTGCAACAATCACCTCGCTCACCAAACTTGCAACAATCACCTCGCTCACCACACTTGCAACAATCACCTCCCTCACCACACTTGCAACAATCACCTCGCTCACCACACTTGCAACAATCACCTCGCTCACCACACTTGCAACAATCACCGCGCTCACCACACTTGCAACAATCACTTCGCTCACCACACTTGCAACAATCACTTCGCTCACCACACTTGCAACAATCACCTCGCTCACGACACTTGCAACAATCACCTCGCTCCCCACACTTGCAACAATCACCTCGCTCACCACACTTGCAACAATCACCGCGCTCACCACACTTGCAACAATCACCGCGCTCACCACACTTGCAACAATCACTTCGCTCACCACACTTGCAACAATCACCTCGCTCACGACACTTGCAACAATCACCTCGCTCACCACACTTGCAACAATCACCTCGCTCCCCACACTTGCAACAATCACCTCGCTCACCACACTTGCAACAATCACCTCGCTCACCACACTTGCAACAATCACCGCGCTCACCACACTTGCAACAATCACCGCGCTCACCACACTTGCAACAATCACTTCGCTCACCACACTTGCAACAATCACCTCGCTCACCACACTTGCAACAATCACCTCGCTCACGACACTTGCAACAATCACCTCGCTCACCACACTTGCAACAATCACCTCGCTCACCGCACTCACCACGCTCACAATGCTCACCACAACCACAATGTTTACCATGCTCACCTTGCTCCCTGCACTCACCTCGCTCTTTGCGGTCACCACACTCTGATAAAACCAAAGGCGAGCGCCAGGTCACCCCAGGACAGCAGGGACCCTGTCCTGTGGTATGTGGGCAAGATGCGGGCCATGCTTTGTTTTCACCTGGCCCGTCACTTCACTTGTTATAAATGTATTGTTTCACGTGGCGCTTCACATCATATTCATATAATTGGATATGAAAAAAAACAAGACAAGGTTTTGTAGAAGTTCTGGTGGTCTGTGGGTTTCAGGTGAGGTCAGCAGGAAACCGTGTGTGAATTGTCAAACGCAGACTAACAAATACAAAGGTGGACGGAAGTGACCGCGTGTGCATATTTAACGCGTGCAGGCTTTCACGACCCGATGCAATTAAAAATTGTTTTTTGGTCAGATGGCTGCGAGTAAAAAGTGTGTCGTTACACCCTCCTCTACCCATCACAGACAATTCATGAAATAAAATGCTCTGAAAATATTTCCGTCCATTCCTGTTGACGCTAAGTGTGTGTGTGCTGTAGGAATCGGTGAGTGGTCACCGTTCCTGTAAACTTCACTCATTGATTCCTCCACCCATGTCCACACAGCGTTCAACCAGGTTATAACGAAAAAGACAAAGACCTCCCGTATAGCCTTAACAGACCGTTGGGGCAAATAGTGTTAGTGACAAGGCTGGATTATGGACCGGGCCAGTGGGGCTAGTGCCCTGGGACCTCGGACTGCCAGGGGGCCTCCAAGCCTCAGGCCACGCAGTGCGTGGCCCAAGACTTGCAAAGGAAGTTGAACGCCAGGGCCCTCAGTGCACACAGCGCAAGCTGATCGCTAGGCCCCTGGGTGCTTATAGCATGAGCTCACCACTAGGGCCATCGGACCCCTCAGCGCTTACAATGTGAGGGCCCCCAGACCCATTGGTGTTTAAAACGTGAGCTGACAACTAGGGCCCTCGGGCCCCGCAGCGCTTACAATATGAGGCCCCTCGGTTCTTAAAGCGTGAGCTGACCACAAGGGCCATCAGGCCCCTGGGTGCTTACAGGGTGAGTTGACCACAAGGGCCCCAAGACCCCTCAGTGCATACATCGAGTGAAACACCTGGGCCCTTTGGTACATACAGTGCATGCTTAAAACGAGGGCCTCTCGGATAGTACAGTGCTTCTGCAAAACTGAGCCACTGGTTGGCACGCTACAATATGCAGTGACATGATACAATATTCACCAGCAAGTGAGTTCATTATGAAAACAGGACAGTTTGGAGGGCGTCATATTATGGCAAGCCATTCATTATTTGACTTACCTTAACTCGCTATCCCTTTATTTTAGCTAGCTGTCCATTTTCCTTAGCTAGCTGCCCATATGATTCAGCTTGTTAATAGAAATTAGTTAGCTAGCTGCCATTTTTTCCAGCTCACTGCCCTTACAACCAAATTAGCTGCATTAAAAAGCCAGCTAGTGAGACCGAGTGCTCGTCGTTTGTTGAGAGCTTAATTAGACGTTGGCTAATCAAGTATTAAAAATACACCGCGGTTTTGTGAAACATAAAAAAAGATGCAAAAAGCGATATTTTTCCATACACTGACACATATATAAGAGACCCAATCTATTCTTAAAGATTAAGGAAAACTCCAATCATTTTCCCCATAGACCGTCTGTTCTTAGATCCACCGAAGTCGATAATGCTAACGTTGATATGCAAATTGTCGACAGCTCTTACGAGGTATTTTTTCCCCTCGCCATCGATAGGGTGTGGCCGATGTACATAGTTTCCACCAAGTCATTTCACTGACTTATCAGAAACCTTCGTTGGTTGTTCAGCCAATGAAAAAAAGTTATCTTTGGAATTTTAAGCAACATAATTATCTCTGTGTCAAACAGGTATATAAGACATTTATTGGCAGGAAAAGCCACAGACAGATGCCTGTTTTCTTGCTTGGTATGCCACAGTAATATATTCAGAGACTTTTTTCATGTTTTTCTAAAACAGCCTTTTAAAGGCTATTTCAACAATCCTTCCAAAGGGCTATTTTCTAACAGCCTTTTTAAAGGGTAAGGATTATTTTATTTTATGTTCATTTATCTACTGAAAGCTGTATTTAAGTACAAGTAGGCTATAAACTACTACCACTTGATTGTATTTTCCAACAACAGTATTTGAAGTGTGTTGTCATTATTAATATATATTCATTAAATGTTTATTTAATAAGTATGAAGATATGCTATAAATATATTCATATAAATAGCATACTAGTTATGAAATATGGACAACAAACGTTGGAATAGTGGTGCTTCCAAAAGGAAAGCCAAAAAAGAAAAGGAGGCAAGAGAGGCAGTTTTGCTTCAAAGTGTTCCACTCATTGACAACTTATTTCAAAAACTCTCTAATAGTAACAATGATGACAGCAGCACTATTGTCAGCTGTGAGGAAGGAACTAGCACTAGTTCATTTTCCAGTAATGTTGTCACTCCCCAAGAGCCATCCTTTGAAGGTGAACCCTCAACAGCTCAGGTATACAAGAACCATCATTTCCACCTCAGGAGCAGTTGGGCAGTTCACGAGAATAAAATCAGCAACAAAGCCATTCCTGATGCTTTGAGGTCACTGACCCTGAATTATGGCAAAGCACTTCCATTGACATTGTTAAGTCAGTGATATTGAAGGAGGAGCAGTCTCCTTCCAAAACCGTAGTGAAAAATACCCAGCTTCAGTCCGAGATAGAGCGCTTGGTGGAAAGACTAGAAGTTTCAA